GTTACAGGAAAATGCTTGGCATCCTGTTATAAACTTGGTGAGGTTTCAGATGTTACAAGAAGACAACAGACATAGTGATGAGCCATCTCTAGTACTTGACTAGATCAAGCTCATCCTAAGAGTTTGTGCAACCTACATTATTATCAAGAGACCGATTTCAGTTTCCGCAATCAACTCGAGTGATTTGTATGGATTTTGTTTGGACGAAGGCAAGAAGCATGAAAAGAAGGCAAATATGGGAGAGAGGTAGTGATATGGTGGATGTTGGTGATGATCATATCAGCTCGACTTAGTATAGACCTTGTTTGCTCGATGGTCGATCTATATAAAGATCAAGATTAGATGAAATTTCTGATATGACTCCTCTAATGATCTCCTAGAACGAAAGACAAAAGTTTCAAGTAAATAATAATTGATCTCAATTATTATAACACGATGGGCTTAACCCGAATGAATATTCTACCATATGAGTGAAATATTCCTTCAACGTTTTACATTGATTAATATCCATATAACTCAATTGTTGATCAGGATTTGTTTTTTTTCTTACTGATTATGCTGTCATATATCGTGTGGAATAAATATTTTTCGAAACTTTTTTTTATTCAAAGTGGGTGCATAGCGATATATTATTACTGCCTTTGATGTATTCCAGGGGACAAAATTTTCTTGCACTGTTACATGTTTGGGATGGGTTGATGGCCGAAGAAGGACGCAGTACATCTGCTCACGTCAGGTTAGGCATGCAGACAGAAAGAGTTGCATGGGAGATGAAGCAAGCAGAAAGGACAATTGAAGAGGTGAAGTCAATATACACGGGATCTGCAGTTAAGATGATGCAAGATTGGGCTTTGAGTTGATCTCATCTTGGAGATCATCAATTGTGACTCCTGAAACCTATCATATGATCGGTAAAACACATTAATGCTTATTGTAGAAACTTGGTAGTTTCTCTGTCACCTTCAAGAGGTTGGAGTAGATTGACATAAATTATATGCTTGAGTTACGTTGCATAGCTACGTAGGAGAAGATATTGTTGGTGGAATTTGTCCTTTGCCTGCGTTCAGTTGCTGTGCACATAATGGCAATAAGATCTCCACATCTCGAAAGCTATAAATAATACTGTAGAAATGTACATATCAAATTTGCAATGCTAAACACACATAGAGAAAGAGAGAGACAGAAATTGGCAACGACATTATCTTTTGTTTGTGGATTGGGACTTCTCTCACGATCATTGCCATGAAGAAAAGGAAAAGGCGTTCAGTGTAGTAGGTATCCTAAACAAGCAGACCAAATTTGCAATGCTAAACTCACACGGGAGAGAGAGAGAGAGAACCAAATTTTCTATTGTTTGAGGATGGGGTTTTCTCTCAAGGGCATTGCCATGAAGAGAAGGAAAGAAGTACCCTAAATAAGCAACCATCTTCTTTCTTTGGCACCGCAAGCGTCCACAGATAACATACTACATGAACCATGGACCTTATCTTCCTGCAGTTAAGTAGGGTAGGTAAGGCTTGCACATTATTCAGCACTCACGGCTTTCAGTTTCAGATAAGGCTCAAGAATCTGGTCCTTTGCTTCAACTCTCCGCTCAAGCTCGATCGACCGGTTCTTTTCCTCCATTTGAGGACTACCACAACAAATGGGAAATATAGTTGTCACCTTGTGCATAGAGCAGCGACTTGGAAGTCGATCAGTTCTTGTCATGGATTCCTCCAGATTCTGGAAAGAAACAAAGGACCATCAATGCCATGCATTGATTCTTTGGCAACTTAACAGAGTAACATGCATGCAAGTCACCGGTGAACAATGTACAATCTTGAACCCACAAATTGGCTGCTTCCCTTATATTTCTTTCACTACAAGCAAGCCATCCATCATAGGCTCCACATCTGACCATTTGTAGCTCCACATGTGACGGGTAAGAAAGGATCAGCTGTTTACTTTTCCTACTAAGAGCAAGGGGAAAGAATTCCTCGCAGAATTGTTAGAGGGAATCTACTTGGAAGTCTTGTGAGATGGAAAGCTAACATTGTTCTATCATTGGCATGCAAGCTTATTAATTGCATGCTCTTTTGAAGCAAACTGTTTATTGGAAAATCTGTTAATGATAGATTAATACATCTTTATCGAGTGGAAGTGATGCAAACTGTTTACTCGTAAGGATAGGCGATACCATTTCAAATTGAGTTGGACGTCAATTTAATTCAAAATTTTAAAGTTAATAAATTATAGGTTAGACTCCAATGTATATCATTCGGCTTTCTTGATGTTTATCAATATGAGACTATTTTCTTCGTCATCTTTTTCAATCTCTCCTCACACATGAACATCTTCTTTGAACATAATTACCTGAAATGAGCTTGCATCAGATAACTAAAACCAGATGACTCATGTGGCATTTTCTTGACAGTGTTCCAAGATGTGTTCTTTCCGTAATAGATGCACATCTTTGTCTTGTATGATGGAACAGTAGAAAGCCCGATGAACTGCTACTGATGCTTTCCTGATTTGCATAAGATGGCAGAAGAAATAAGTGTGAAGTTACTGAGAACTATCAAAGAAATTTTGGCATTGACTTTTCTCTTCCACCGTGACTTTTGTCCGAACATTGAGAGTGTGTTTCCTCAGTTTAAGAGCCCCAGTCAAATTATAGCTTTCATGTCTTCCTGACATTTCCTTTAATTTGATCATGATCTACATATTTTCTCTTGCTAATTCTTTTGTTTCTGTTGATGACAACTTTTTCTCTTGGAACAAAGTTTTCTGGAGGAAAGAGAAACAGCTTCTACCATGCTATCTGTAATGTATTCATATAGCATCAAGACATTCTTTTTCTGATAGAAAGAAACGTTGCCTCGCTTCATTAATGCGGTATTAATACTTCGAATGAGTGAGCTGAGAACGGCAAAACAGCAGATGAGAGCTATAAAGAAAGCAGGGAAGTAGGTAAGACCGTGTCATGAGCAAAGCATACTCTCTAAGCAATCATCACTCGGCTGACGAAGGAGACCATGCAGCATTAAGGCATCCACCTGTTGGATGATGACTTGTCAGCGGAGTGTCATTTTTGATCCGGATGTAGCAGGCTTCATGTCAGTTAGAAGTGTCAGCCCATCCATTCCTGCAGATACTGACCAAATAAGAATGAAGTAATGAGGAAAAGAACAACGACAAGATGAACGATGAGAACTCACGATCAATGACACTGTGTTCATATCTGAAGAGGAACATGCCAAATGCTCCCAAGTGTATCAAGTCTAGATGTATAGAAAAAAGCCAAGATTTTGATCCAAGAAGCACTTAATGTTCCGCTCCGCAAGCATTGATTCATTCGCCACATCGATAACGTAGAAGTGTCGATAGCCATAAGTTTGCAGTGATTTCATGCTTATTGCTGCATGTTTTCCATCAAAAACAGTAAGGAAAGAGAAGATTAAACGCAGGTAACTGTGGGAGAGTTCACAAGGATTGGAAGTTGAGGCCTCACATCTGTTGAAGGTGGGGAAGGCAGGCCACCGAGGAGAGTGTGCGGTGTCCCCATCCCTACTCCAGTGAACTGCTGACAGTACTGGCTTGCTTGCCATTAGAAGGCGAGCTGTGGCCCCAAAGTATTGAAGCCAGCAACAAGGACACAAGACCCTTAAAACCTCCTCTCTCTCTCTCTCTCTCTCTCTCTCTCTCTCTAAGGGGATCTCACTGTAACGTATTCGTCTTGTTTCCTTCTCTCGTTTCCTTCTGCATGGCCCATGTATTATAGGAGACTGTTGGTGTGCTGACGCTGGCAAGCCGAGGGCTGCAGAGTTGGAGAGGTTCCTGATCCTATACTTGGCATGGGGCAAAAGTCAACTCATAAAAAGAGATTGATTCTCGCAAGAGAACCCATCAATTGCAGCACTCTTTAGCTCTGCTGATGCAATGCAACAAAATTACCAGAGCAAGTGTTGCAAGACAATCCCATTGACTTCTTTTACCAGAATATATAAAAAGTACAGTGTCAGATATATAAGTTGTCAGCAAGCAAGCAAACTATTTTTACCTGTTCTTGGAACTCCTTTTCTCTGTGAAGATAGCATTGCCTGTTACTACAATCTTTTGTGGTTGATTCTTATCATTTTTGTCTTTCAGCATCTGAGTCAATAGTCTATAACTCTAATACTTGTAGGAACTAATGGAGATTCTCTTTCTACTTATTTTAGTTGCTTGATCTTTTTTCATGTTAATAGAAAAGGAGAGATCTAACTCACGACTAGAGCTGTGTAGTTTATGCCACATTGTACTCCAGTCCAGAGTAGGTCACCACCTACCTAACTATAACAATGCAAGATATAAGATGGATGCATATGTAGGTAATGCCACTGGTTGCACTGGTGGCACCTTTCTATCCTCTTAGGAACTCCAGATCTCATTTTCACTGAGTTATGTACCCTAGAAAGAATGTAAGAAAGAACTGAAACTAAGATCATACAAAGGAAAGGTTAGAATAAAAAGATATGAGCACCAGAGCTCTGAAATAGCATGCTATGAGGACTCTAGCCTAGTCTGTAGAACTTCCCCAAAAAATTAACATTGTTGTTTTGCTACTACAAGCATTGAATCCTTTTGACAGAGGGAAGCTACCACATTGTTCATTCCTCCCTCTTAAAGGAGTCTCTTCAATAAACAATGTCCTCCCACAGTCAAACTGGCAAGCAGTTGCTGCCTCATCTAGGTCTCCATATTGAGTCATCCTAGTACAACCACTCCACATTAAATTCCTCACCAGGGTATCCATCTCCTGGCACTACTGCAGACCTGCATGGGGGTTTCAGTGATAAGGCTAGACCCATGACTCTCTCTCTCTCTCTCTCTCTCTATTTTTCTTCAACATCCTTTTCCCTCTAGTTGGGTGATGTTTGGCACTTGACACAGTGTCGTTTTTTGGCATGTGTGGCAGGATCACAGGAGGAGAGGCACTCAAGTTGAAAGGTAGGAGAAGGGTGGGGGAAGAAGTTGGCAACTAATAGATGGGCCATCACTCATGCTGCAACAAGCAAAAGGTCAGAAGGGGCCTCTGGTCACCTGAGGAAGATGAGAAGCTCATAAAGTACATTTCCACCTACGGTCATGGTTGCTGGAGCTCAGTCCCGAGATTAGCAGGTTCTTTTCTACATGACAACATCTGATTTAGAACTTGACATCTTAGTTTCTTCCACCTTCTTCCTTTTCTACTGTGTGTGCGCGCGCGTGTGTGCGTGTTTGGTGTGTGGGACTTTGCAAGATGTGAATGAATTGGCAATGGCTCAGGGCTGCAAAGATGTGGCAAAAGCTGCAGGCTTAGATGGATCAATTATCTCAGACCTGACTTGAAAAGAGGGAGCTTCACTCCCCAAGAAGAATCTCTAATAATTGAGCTCCACAGAATGCTTGGCAACAGGTAATAGGGTTTACGGTCTTCTCCTTCCTACAGAAAACTAGGCAACAGTATCTGATTTCCCATTCCAAGTGTGTGGTTCACAATGTCATCATCATAGGATCATATCGTCTCTTCTACAGATGGTCACAGATAGCCAAGCAACTCCCAGGAAGAACAGACAACGAGGTCAAGAACTTCTGGAACTCCACCATAAAGAAGAAACTCGTCTCTCAGGCCATGGATAACCTCAACCCCATGCCTTGTGCTGATGAACTGCTACCATTGAGCACGTATCGAAATCAGCTCTTCTGTGGCCCAGAGCAGTATTACTTCCTGAATGGAATCAACCTACCGGTAGGCTACGACAGCCCAGACCTGCCCGGCTTCGTCGCCGATGGTGTAACTTCCAGCTCGACGTGGTCTTTGGATCCTCGCCATCAGAACCAGCTGCAACACAACAACAACAACGGCAACAATCTCCTGGTGTTCAACGAAGAACTCACGCTTCCTTTGCATTACACAGAAGCCATTAAACATGCAACCACAAGTTTCGCAGTCAACTGCAATCAATCCCTGGAGACCCAGGACTCGATCATCCAGTGTTTTGCGGCACCGAATGAGTGCCCTAACGCCCGGCCTCTCTCGAACAACCCTCAGGGTTCCATGAACACGGTGAGGTTCAAGGATGCGATCATGGCGTCATCGTCTGCACCAGCGGTGGTGCTCGGTGACAGCCTCGCTGATATCTCTGGTGTGCAAACTCATTGGATAGAGTAGGGCGTAGGTTCTCCTGGACAAGAATAAAGGTCGTATAAATCTGGATAGAAAATTAACATGGAGAAGAGAAGATCGAGTTGCTGCCGCTATCATGTAAGCGTTAAATATGCATACATCAGTGTGGGAGCCTTCTTAGAACTGTCAGATCGACATATATATATATATATATATATATATATATATATATATATATATATATATATATATATATATATATATATTGGTGGCAGTCTATGCCTTGTAATGGATAATGGATACAAGAGAAGTGCAACATCTATGGTACGTCATGCATCGCTGTCTTTCTGTAATGTTTTCTTGGGTTTTATGTCCAATATCTTATTACGGTACACTTCAATTCATCTTTTTGGTCCATAAATACTTGGAGGAGAACATTATAATACTAATCCTCGAACTTGGGAGAACATTTTAATTGGGTTTTGGTTTATGTCTTTTGACACTTTCAAGATTATTAATATTTCATCTCAATTTTATTGTTAGGTTTCTTATATAAATCTTGCGGTCTGAGTTGAACAATAAGGGGATTATCGATCCGACATAAATATTAATGACAAACATTACCTAATGTACCTATATCAAAATTGGCCAATCGTAGTCTGCATATATTGAATCTTGATATTTTAACCAAAAAAATTTCAATTCTTCATTCCCTTTTTCCTACAACTATCACATTGAGTTTAATTTTCAAAAATCAAGCAAACATTATTTTTATTAATTTAAATTAGGTTAAAGAGATGAATCAAATTATTTAGTGAAATTAGCTTGCTATCAATGATTATGAATCGAAAGCTAACCTCAGAATTTGATTGGAATAAGAATCAATCGACATATACAAGAATCTAAAAGTCTAAACAAAGTTTGCTCAAAAGAATATTGATGTGATTAGAATGCTTGGTCTCATCAACAAGTATTTATCTCTCTCTCTCTCTCTCATCCCATCTCTCGAGTGATGACCAGTACAGTGAATAGTCCAACTCAATTAAAGCACCGAGACCAAAAGCATGACGAACTGAAACCACTGCACCGGGAATTTACCAGAAGTACCTCCTCATAGAATTAAATGCCAGCATCGCATAAATCCCCCTCTGTGCTTTTGCCTCCTCTCCTTTCGAGTTTGCTGGCATTTGGAGGAGGCACGTACATATGGACAAATGATATAAGTGTCTTACTGCATACTGTTCAACATTGCATGTGATCGGTGAGGGGGAAGACAGACCCTTGCAATGGAGGAAGCCTGGTCTGCTTCCACTGGGCAAACCATTAAGTTAAAACAGTGACATAATAGATAGAACAAGAAACAAGGCGTTTAGTTCATGTTGTGTCTACTACCTTTTACCTTTATGATTCCAACTCAGATTGCTGGGCGAAGCCTCGATGCAAGCATATGCAACATAGGTTCGTAATCTCAGATTACTCTATGAATGAGATCAGTTGGTGCAAGCGTAGGTTTCCACAAATATGCACAGTACATGAATCCTAGTATAAATTTTTTTGGAGACACTAATAGTCTCTACAACACAAGAATTTTTCTTCATCAACTTTGCTGTCATTCTAGGGGGGAATGCATTGATTTACATGATGAAAACAAATTGGCTGATTGAACAGTCACCACCAATCTCTTAAGAGGATGGCTGCTTGGAAAATTGTACTTCGTCAGAGAAAAGTAGAGTAGCAGAAGGACCAGTCTAATCCATGAATCAATCATCAAGAGAAGCAAATCATCAATCGGCTGAGAGCTTGGCTGCTTGGAGAAAGGTAACTCTTTATCAGAGAGAACTATCATGTTAGGCCAGTCTAACTGTAAATATGTTACAATGCATAAAGTGTACCTACCATCAGACAACCTGTTCCACAAAGTAAAGCTAGGATAGCGATTGGCACCCTTAGCTGTCATTTACTGGTAGTGGCTGGAGCAGCTGCAAAATTCATATTAGTGAAACAAGACTGACTGGGTAGCATGCAGAGAATGGCTCACTGACCATAAATAATCATGTGCCAAGAGCTGAACGGTTTGTAAAGATAAAGTTAGTTGACAAGGAAAAACAAAAAGTGGAATTTAAAATTTTGACATTTAAAGTGCACCATATAAATGGAAAATATATCGCTTCTTTAGTAATCAACTTAAAGGAGCCCAGTGATGAGCAGGTGATCTTCAAGAGCACATTTGCCAGAAACGAAGAACTCACTCGCTGTTGCTCATTGAAACCCAGTGTGCAACTTGTGGAGCATTAGCGGAATTCATCATGATAATCGAAATCATCAAAGTCTTCATCTTCATCATCACTAAAGATAGAACTATAGAACACATACGGGTGTTCTATCATCTCCTTCAAACTTAGCTGGCTGTCTCTATCTGAATCAGCCTGAAACATTAGAAGAGGAAAAGAACAAAAGGAAAACGTCACTTCAAACGCATTGCAACTTTATACCATGTTAGTACAAACAAAAAATCTGATTGCTGAAAGCACAACCATATACAGTTTAGGGCATAAAAGAAACTGTAAATTGCAGACCATGGCAATTTTCAAGGGTTAGAAGCAGTGCCATGAATGAAATAAAATAACACTTTTCTGCTGAGAAATATGGTATGTGATGATACTTAATTTAGGAGGATATGTTCATTTATATGCAAAGGAAATCTGCAATTTCCTATTCTAGTTTTTCCCTATACAACACAAATCTAATTCTTAATGACCAACCAACATGAATCATAATTATCACTAGTACAAAAACAACGGGTGGAAGAGGATATGGAATAGCTAATACTAACAACATAATCTGAAGACCATAAGCTCGACAATATAATAACAAGAGAATGGTGATTCCAGCAAGCCATTTTTTGATAATCATGTTATGGGGTTTGCCTAAAGGCAAATCCCACAGACAAGAAGCTAAAGACATGAACTTGCATGATGAAAAAAAATGAAAGAGTTAATGCTGACATTTCAAACGCCTGTGACTTTGACAATATCAAGTGAAAATTGTCTGATCTGCATCACGATATCCAAGGATATTACTTTTTAAGCATAGATGATCCAGGATATAGGAAATCCAAACCTCTGAAAGTGCATAATCAGCTTGTTGTTTTGCATAGTAGCGTTCAGAATGGTGAATTTTACCAATCACACCAACGAGGTCATCTCCCGATAAGAACCTATACCAAGTACCAAATATAAGCACTATTAATAAGCTTCCAATTGCTTAGTCAATAGTTTTCCAGATTTATACCCATCATTGTCCTGGTCAAGCCTTGAAAATAACATTTTTTCTTGTCCTAAGGTGGCAGAATGATTGTAGGGTCCATCATCATCTCGTATCGAGTCAAATAATCCAACAAAGTATTCTTTGAAGTTAAGCTTCCCATCTTCATCTCCATCTTTTTGCCTGGAAGGATATATTTAGGAGCCAACAAACATTAGATTACCAACATATAGTTTCAGAAAGTAACAAAAAACTACAACATGCAGATTATCACATAGCTCAATCTGCCAACTCTATTTTCATGTAAGAAACAAAGGAGAAAAGAAATTTGTTAAAAAGCTTCTCTAAACATTTATTATTCTGCATAGTGTATTCTTTTGGTTGCTAGGTGATATGGGGATGATGACAGAATCTGACTTAACACTAGATAACATGAAAGTTGACATTTCAATGCCAATTCTGTACTGAATTGTGTAAAAGTAATTAAGATTTATCTTAATTAAGTGACTGAAACTCTACACAACGAAATCCAAAGAAAGAAGAATGAAGCAACATGGAACAGTCATAAAAACAAATATCATAGAGTTTGGCCTTACCTGGACAGTTAAAATCGAAGAATGTAAGAAAGAAACATGGAATAGTTGTAATAAAAAAATATATCAGAATTTGGCCTAACACCAATTCTGTGTCAATATATCAAATATCTAAAAATAAATTAATATTTGTGACCTATTCTACACCTTTGAGGCTAAAGAGTGTTTCATGAATTATTGCCTTGACATTGCATTCATCATTTTTGGGTCATCCACATCTTATTTAATAAGGATATAAGTGTTCCACAGAATTATATGAAACATCACTCTTTAGTGTAGTGACATTGTAAGCAGCACATCGTCATTCAAGTTCTTTACATGCAGAGACACACAGGTATGTATAGATGCATGTGCAGAAATGCATATATGCATGTACAGAACTGTCAGTTGCATCATCAATCATGTTAACATCAACACTGCAACACATCATTGCGCAGCATAAAAAAATTTCAGAACCAATAGGTGAGCTTCGGATGGTTTTAGCTGTATCTCAATTATAAAGGTGGACTCTGCGTAATGGCAAACCTATGAAATTATCACTCTAGAAAATATATACCAACTTCCAATTCCTCCGTTCAAAGACAACAGATTGTTCCATGCACAAAAAAGAACTTCCTTTATCTTGGATGTGAACAACTTCTGATTGGGCACCATAATTGTTGATTTTCAGTAACCAACAACTGTATCCTGGTTAGTAGCTGAAATGACCCTTTTATATATTCTTATCTTATTAATTTAAACATGCCATCACACTTATAATAGATTAATACCACCAATTGACTTGTTTCATTACTATCTGCTGAATAAGTGAAAAGAGAAATTCCTAAACCCCTTTTTCCACCAGGTGGCCAATGCAAGTGATAGCCCATCATTGTCTCTGGCTGCTTATATTTCCATTTCATCTTTGTATGCTGCAAGACCTTGTAGCACTATGAGGCAGTGCCACACTCAAGTCTCCCACGATTTGGCGGTTGCAGGTGCATTATGTATATGCAACCCTGCCTGTGCACAGGCTAATTTTGTTGCTTGGATCCTTGATATCTAGGTTGCAAATGATGTTAGGGGGCTAACAAATGGCATCATATATTTCAATTATATAACATTGTGGTAGATCTTATTCACACTATCATGCAGGACATGAATCGCAAAAACCCCTTTGCAGGAGTTTCGCACAAAGCAAAAATTTTGATAGTTTATGACAAAAAGCTGAGAGGAGTAGCTGAATTTAAAGAACAAAGTTTTGTATTGGATCGTGATAAATAAAAGCAGACAACAATGAGTGGAGCTTGTTGGTCAGATTATAGGTTTTCCAGAAAACTATGTAAATCATAAACTAAAGACATGAAATTGAAATTAAAACAGAGTCTAACAAACTAACATAACCCTATGTTAATGCAAATTTTTATTTCTTGGATCCATACTATGCTAGCTTCGCAATAGTTAAATGGATAAACTATATACAAACAACATGAAATAAGTAATTGAAAGATTGCACAAGTATCTGCTTATGTTGTAGATAACTGCTTGTACCTAAAGAGACATTAGATTGATAAAATAATGAACCTCAAAAGTTCAAAGATAAAGGAAAGAGTTGCACCTTATTTCTTCTTTGCACAGCCACTGGATCAGTTTTGGGTTGCCACTGTCAGCAGGGTGTAGGAAGCTGAAGAAGCAGAAATAGATTTAGAAGAAAGGTAAAAAGGATAGTACAAGAACAACAACAAAACCATAAATCCCAACTATTTGGGGTCAGCTAGAAAGGTAAAAAGGATACAAGTCAAAAATAACAATTCTCAATAACCTACTCATTGAATTCGGTCAAATTCAAAAGTCCATTTCCATCAGTATCTGAGGCATTGAAGTGATCCTCCTTCCACCATCCTGTTTCATCAACAGGCGAAGCTTTAACTGGAGAATGTTACATCTAACACCCACTTAGGATTATTAGATCATCCTTGGCTAGCTATATTTATGCATGCTTTAATTTTTGACTTTGGAAATCATGCACATTATCAATTGTAAACAACAAACTTCCAGAAAATAGAGAAATTTTGCATTAATTAACATTAATAAGTGTTGCAAGAATAATGCAAAACACTGTGATCAACATAACCACATAATAAATTTTGTCCATTTACACCGGAATGTTGAGAAAATATAAATATTTTGGAAACTCAAAAGCATGAAGCAATGTTAATATAAAACTAAAATTCTTAGTAATTATAAGAATCATACAAGCTCCTAAAAAATATAAAGCCAAGTTTTTACACGGACATTGGGAAAATATTAGAGAATTAGGTAGGCCTCAAAGAATATAATATGAATAATAGATGTTGTACAGGATAGTAGTTAACTTGTGTATGTCAGCTCAAATATGAAGCTGTCCTAGGTAAACCACTATAAATGACAAAGAACTCAACAGCGAAAAAGGAGTCTGAGAAGGCTAATGACCATAATGCTTAGACTTAGATGTGGGAACAGATTATTCTCCACATGGTCCCAAGACTGTTACAGTAATTTACAAAATTTGTCTAGTAGAAATAACTTAAGATCTCACCATTAGGGTTTACTAAAGTTCCTTGAGAAAATAGTAATGTGACATTTATGAATCTCGTCTTAGATAAATACTTTCTCATAATGTCATGGCTAATTGGCACAAAAATGAAAAAACATTTGTGAAACTAAGAAAAGACATCTATAGAAAACTCCCTATATTATTCAATCCCACCACTACATCTTACATATCTTATGCAAAAACAGAAGACTATGTCCCAACCATATAGGAAACCATAAGTTAAATAAAAGAGTTAGGAGTTGGATATTCCTCCAGTCAGTGGCATTTATGAGAAAGGGTTTAATTCACAGCTATAAATGACAATAAAATGACAAGTTCCAGCTGATGCTTGATATTGATAGAACAAGCCGCCTTCTTGTCATGGCTAAACAGTACAAAAAGCGCTTGTGGGACAGGTACAGAAGAAGAGCTGATTCTTCCTCCTCTTCCAAGATGTGATGGTTCTGTGATCCAAAAAGATCTCTAAATAGTTAGTATAGATTGCTACCAAAACTCCCTGACTAAACATGATCTGAGTCAGCGCAAGAAAAGTGATCTTTTGATATTGAGAAAGAAATGGATATTTTTGTCTAAAGAAGGATAAAGTGGATACACATTTCATCACAGATATGAAATTATAATAGGTTAAAAAGTTGCTCAAAGATGGACAAGCAGAAGCAGTTTCCTATATAAGTTTTGACAATTGGAACTCGCATGTGGTATCACAAAGTAGACATGATTTATCAAGAATTTTTTTTTATAATTGAAAGGGCTTAGAAGATAAAATTGCAATAATTTTCAAACGCCATGAGTTGTCATGTGTTATGCAGCAAATAGAAGCTTGAGACTTGTAGAATTAACTTCAACATTTGCATGATTAGGAAACACAGTAGGACTTCAACCATGTTACATACAAAGATTATATAAAAATAATACAAAGATTATGTAAGGAAGGTTATTAAGCTTGTTATCAAAATAATAAAGCCTGTATTAGTTACACATACTGCTATTTCACTATCTTCTTTTCATCATTAATATCTTGGCAAGGAATCAAATGAACAAGAATCGATCAATTGCAACAGGTTCCATAACTTGCTTCTCTTAAGTTTGCGATCCACCTCATGACAAACCAAACCCGGTGAAAAGTAGTGGATTAAAGAAGCACTATGTTTCTTTGGAAATAACATATATGAATTTAGGAACAACCTACCTAAAGATGGCATCTTTCTTCTTGTAAATACTGGCAGTCAAAGTAGTAACTATTAATGGTCGAGACTTGCGATTGAATGAAACCACAATACAAAGAAGACAAATCATATGAGGGATCTCACCGACCAGATTGTCGATACTCTTCAAACGAGACAAATCCGTCCCCGTTGCTGTCGCAGAGCTCCAGCTCGCGGCCGGACCGGTGGATCGCCTGATGGGCGGCCTGCTGGAAGTTCCACTCGGCAAGCTCCGTCGAGCTCACGAACCCATCGGCGGGGCCGACGTCGATGCGGGGGAAGAGGACGACGATGCGGTGGGTGATGTTGAAGCGATCCTCGCCGTCGACGTAGTCCTTGGGGTCGAAGAAGTCGTCCCATTCCGGCTGGGACTCCTCGTGGTGAGGGAGGCGGAAATGGTCCCCTTCCCACTGCCGGGCCTCGCGTCGGCGCTCGATGTCTGCGATGATGGGATCGAAGGGGATTTGATGGTGGGAGGAGGCGGAGGAGGTGTTGTGGCTAAGCTTGAGGCGGCGGTGGTGGTGCTGGCGGTGGCGGCGGGGGGTCCTCGGGGGTACGGAGGCGAGAAGCAGGAGGGTGAGGAGAGCGGCGGTGGCGTAGATTAGTATTGTGGCGGCCGACGGCTTCGCCATCGACCTTCGATCGAAAGGAGGAAAAAAAGCACAGGTGTGGGTGAGCGAAAGGGGGTGTTGGAAGATCTATTTCACCGCGGAGGATAGTAAGCCATGGATTCGCCGTTCGCAACAATGCTCTCGGATATATTTATGATCGGACGGTTCACGTTTGAAATGATGGGTGGGAGTGGGATCCACGTAACTGTACGGCTCTGATAAGAACTGGACGATACCGATTACAGTAGAACGCGCTCGATGTGATGACGCGGTTTGTGTGTCTCGGCCGCGGTACGAAACACAAAAAGTCTTTTATAACAACCGGGCCCCACATAAACTTCATATAACTCGGCGAATGGGTTACCAATAGAAAGTAGCTCACCCGTGTCGCGTGAATTAGTATAGACGGCAGAAGCCGCGACGGTGGGAACCGTCCGATTATATGCCCTTCCTTGTCTAAACCGTTCATTCATATAACGAGGTTGAATACCATATCATAGATACATAAAAGAAAAGAACGACATATCAGAAGAATTAACAAAGACTCAATGGAGTTACAAATGATTTTGCCTTTAGTAGGTTCACACAAGTATGATAATACACTAACTAAAAGATGACTCCTCACAAGTAAATTTCTCGCTTAGGCTCAAGAAATTTTAGGAGTTTTCAGTTGGTGAGGTAATTATAAAGGTTCCAAACATCATAAAACATAAAGTAAATCAAGCAAATGATTTTATTGACAATTCTGCCACCAAATCATGGCAACGATATTGCCCAAACCATTTAGGACTTACCAGGTGGTAGGTACTAGGGCAGTGTTATAATCAAGTCTAAGGCTTTTCCTTGCTACCTATGTCCCACCACAACCTTCATCTAAGATAGATAGCCCAATTTTAGTCCATTTAATAGTCAAATCGTAGCCCAATTTACTTTGACCAAGGCTTTAACTCATCGATCATTCCTCGTGTGTCATCAAATCTTTCAGCACATTGATAGATTTTTCTAACATATTATTATATCTTCCCATGTATTGACTTATCCTCTAATAATCAATCGATTCTCTAGTATGAAATTTATTTTTCTAACAAGACATCTAATAATCTAACATGATATCTGTTTCTTCGATGGTTCGTACACTATAGTCAAAGTATCTCTTGTATCACTAGACTTAATTATAATATTAATTATTTAAATTTATTAATTAATTTTATCATCAAAATATAAAATTTTATAGATGCTTTTGTGTAAGGTAGACAACTTTACATGATTAAAGCTGTTTCTTTAAGACATGTTACCTAATTTAGATTTATCGAATGCTTGAAATGCGACTCTTTTCATGCTTTTATCTATTAGGTGCTATGCATGAAATTATCTAAAGAGATTACATCATGCATTGAGAGCTGTCTTTGTAGGATTAGAACACATCATATGTCCTGAGTGAATACATTATTATAAGCATAGAAAGTTAATTTATCCAATTACGACATGTGAAGTGCATTGTATGTTTTTTGTCTCGGTAGACGTATAAAACATATGAACATCTTTTATTTGACTAACTAAAGGAGATGAATAGTTTTTTTCTTCTCTCAACCAATGGGTTTTCTTATTTTTATTTGTTATTAAGATTAATATTAAGGCATGAATTGTGCTGTGGTAAAGGAGTGGTGGTCTACAAACGCAAAGACAGACGATGGTTTGAGTTAGTGCTGCTGGTGGATGCATATTTTAAGGATCATGCAGGGGCCCAATTTGTTCTTAGATTTGTCTTGTTCTTGGATTTTAAAGCTTTTTGCTTCCTCAGAGGGTCAGAATTTATTTGCTACCAGCTTTAAGATTTGTCTTGTTCTTAGATATTTGTGACTTTCCTTTCTCACAAGGTCAAATTTTATTTGCCAATAGATCTTCAGTCAACATTTATTTATTTGCTAGTAGATCTTCAAGACTCAATTATGGTTGAGGAAGAGAGCTTGGCCACTTTGTCTGGGCCTTGTTTAAACTTTGTGTGCTTAGCAAATCTTCAGGATTTGTATTGGTTCTCACAAATGATCAATGTTCAATTTGCTAGTAGATCTTTGAGACTTGTCTTTCTCAAAGGATTATATATATTTTGACAGCAAATCTTTGGGATTAGATTTTCTTTTTGCACATGATCAGATTTGATTTTGCCGGAAGAAAAGCTTGGACACTTCTTAAAGCTCTATAAGTAGTTTGCAGATGCCACAGCTCCCCTTCGTTCAGCTCCTGCTCCCATAACTCTTCACTGAAATCCATGTTGGTCTTCCCCTCCCAAGAGGAGGAGAAGAAGAGGATGACAATGCCTTGAGAAAACTGCAGCAGCAAAAGTTGGAGTGGCTGAGCCTGAGGTAGTGGTGGTGCTGGCTATGCCTGTGGGGGTTAATCGAGGGGATGGAAGGGAGGAGGATGAGATGAGCAATGGTGACGTAGTTAGTATTGTGGCACCCGATGGTTTCGCCATCGTCCTTCAAATGGAAGCCAGGAGAGAAAGGTCGATGGCGAAGATGTCGGTTGCCACAAATACTAATCTACGCCACCATCTGTCGCCTCATCCTTCTCCTTCTCACTTCTCAACTCAGTGGTGGAGTGGCTGAGCCAGAGGTAGTGATGGTGTTAGGTGTGCCCGTGGGGATTACTCGAGGGGATAGAAGGGAGGAGGATGAGATGCGCGATGATGACGTAGTTAGTATTGTGGCACCCGATGATTTCGCCATCGACCTTCAAATGGAAGCCAGGAGAGAAAGGTCGATGGCGAAGACGTCGATTGCCATAAATACTAATCTACGCCATCATCTCTCTCCTCATCCTTCTCCTTCCCATCTCTCAACTCAGTGGTGGAGTCGCTGAGCCAGAGGTAGTGATGGTGCTAGCGGTGCTAGTGGGGGTTACTCGAGGGGATAGAAGCGAGAAAGATGAGGCGGACGAGGGTGATGTAGATTAGTGTTGTGGCACCCGATGGTTTCACCATCGACCTTCGATGGAAGCCAGGAGAAAAAGGTCGATGGCGAAAACATCGGGTGCCACGATACTAATCTACGCCACCATCTCCCGCCTCATCCTTCTCCTTCCCACTTCTCACGGAAGTCGTCATCAACATCTCCATCGCCTCTATAAACCCTCAACTCTCCTGATTACTAGATAGATACTCATGAGATTTCAAAAATGTACATAAATAAAAATGAGGCATCGAGCACATTTTTTCCTTTTCTCTCTCTTATTCGATTCTAAAACCTCTTTCCTCTCGCCATGCACCAACATCAAGCCCATGGCGCGGTGTAGTGTGTCATTCTTTCCTTGTTTGGTTTTCTTTTCTCTTTACACATCTCTTCCTCTCTTGCTGCAATATCTTTTCACACACGGTGGAGAGCTCGAGGCGACGGTGGTGATGCCGGTGGTGGCGATGCGGGTTGCTCGGAAGGACAGGGTCATAAAGAGGAGGATAAGGAGAGCGACGATGATGTAGATATTGTGACGTCCAATGGCTTCGCCATGGACCTTCAATGGAAGTGAGGAGGAAAAGGTCAAAGACATCAGACATCACAAGAGTAATCTGCGCCACCGTCGCTATCCTCATCCTCCTCTTCCTGCCTCTGTCCAAGATGACTCCCCACCACCTAAACCGCTAGCACCACCACCACTACCTCAAGCTCCACCACAACACCACCGCCTCTAAAATCCCTCAGCTCTCCAACAAAATCCATAAGGATTAATATTAATTAATCTATAATCCTAAATATTTTTTATTAATAAAAATAAGATTAATCCTCCGGCCAGACTAAATGTTCATACCTTGCAGTGGAAACAAATGGTGAATGTGTTGTGGTAGCTCTAAATGTTCATGTCATGGATGAACACGTACAGGTGCAAAGAGATGCTTCGTACAATTAGGATGCAAGGAGATACAAGTTATTTTCCCAGTTAGGGTGCATCAGATGCATTCGGCCAGACTAGATCAAGTGGCACGTGTGGTATTCAAATTGCTAGTGGGTGCATTTTCTTGACCTGGGTCATGTTCGAATTTGCTTTAATTTTCATGGAATTAGCAAATCTTTAGGATTTCTCGTGATTCTCGCACATGATAAAAATTCAATTACCCAATATATCTTTGGGATTCTCCTTTCTCGTAAGATTTGCTAGAAGATCTTTGAGAGAGCAAGCTAACGACGAGGCCACTAGGGGTCGAGGTAGTTGTTGAGTAACAACGAGAAATGAGGGTTACTCTGTATCTGAATCGATGCCGATGCAATTGCCGAGCGACTCTTTCATCGCTTTGCATCTGCATCGATATCGACGCAGTCACCGAGCGGCAAAAGGGTCACTTGGCAATTGCATCGGCATCAAATGTAGTTGTCGAGCGACTCTTTTATCGCTCTGCATCTGCGTCGACGTCGATGCAGTTGTCGATTGACAAAAGGACCATCGATGTAGATACTGAGTGGGCCTTTCGTCTCTCGACAATTACATCAACATCGATGCAATGAACAACTATTTCATCACTCTGTATTTGCCTCAGCGTCGATGCAATTGTCGAGCGACTAAAAAGTCACTCAGCATCTGCATCGGTAGCCCTTTTACCGTTTGGCTACAGTGTTAACGCCGATGTAGTGAGCGGCCCTTTTACCGCTTTGCATTTGTGTCAACGTCGATGCAATTATCGAATAGTAAAAAAGTCGTTCGACAACTACATCGACGTAGATGCAAAGTGACCCTCATCTCTCGTCGTTGCTCTCCTCATCCATGATAGTTACTCATGACTCCCAATGGCGTCATCGTTTGTATTTGTATTTGAAATTACTTTTTTACCTATTATTTTCGTATTTGTATTTGTAAACCCGATGACATTATGGTAAACAGATCTAGATATTTCACTTTTATAACTAGAATTTTAATATAATTTTTTTAAGTCTAAAGATCCAGATATTAAAAATATTATACAAGAGATATATAATTAGCGCCAAAGTAAACGACACTACTTCAAGAATACTGCAGCAACTTAGGTTGCTCCGAATGAGAAAAAAAAGGAAACCAATGAGAAAAAGGATGGGTAGAGAGCTGCAGTGAAGGGAATCGATGTCCAGCATTGTAAATTACTTC